TGTGTCTCTGACTCCTAGCTGTCTGTGGGTCCAGTACCTTTGCCCTGGACCATATCACTTCACTCTTGACATGAGGAATGATCTTGTCCAAGCAGTCAGGGCTGCTTCCCAGAATGTCAGCTCCTGTTAGCAGCCAGTGGAGTCTGGCCTTGGGGCTCTAAGTGACCTCTCTATAGCTCCAAATCCTACCAATCTCAGAAAACTGTAAGAGGCACAGATGGCTCAACCAGCTGCAGAGCTGACTCTGAAGAGAGTCTCCACTTACTGCACAGGCACAGAAAGGCACAGGAATATTTCCTACCTCTCCCTCCTGTGAGTCCCACCTCCCCCCACCCCCATCTCCAGGAGGCAGGTAGAGCAGTTCTGACAGAGAGGATAAACTGCTGTTGCTGTCCTTCCCCAGCTCTAAACTAGTTTTAAGGTTGCTTAGGATGAAAAATGGAGAATGATTGGGGGTTCCAAACCCCTTTCTCCTCCCTTGGTTTATATCTCTTCACCATTTGGTGGTCAACTGTGGGCCTACCCTGGACCTCATCTACTCAGCGAGAATTGGACATGAAGCTAGAGGCAGCTGCCTTGGAAGGGAAGTCAGGCTCACTTGGACAGCCCAGGCCATGGCAGGAAGAATCCCTTCCTCTTGGGGTCCTTGCTGGGCATGTGATGATGGAGAAGGAGCAGTCCCCCAGCCATGGGTCTGCTCCCCACATCTCTCCTAATTCCACTTCGCCTTCTTCCACCCCCTCCCCACCAGAGGCCTAGCCCTTTTGTCACCGAAGGCCCCCAGAGGGTTTCTGTGTGAAACCTTCTCATTTACACTGTGGCATCAAAATCCACAAAAGATGGATTAATTGCACTCTGGTTAATAGCAGCAGCACAATGATTAAAATCTATATTCCTAACTTCTCTAGCACCCTGGTGTGGGGGTGGGGCGGAAGGGTGTCTTGAGGGGCAGGGAGGACCCCATAAAACAATCCCTCCGGCATTCTCAGGCTAAGGAGGGCCCCCAGTGACCACCTGTTCTTGGCTGTCCCCTCTGAAGAGCTCTGCCTTCTCACAGCCACCACCAGTTACCCCACTCCCAGGAAAACAGCACATATTCTTCTTCTCCTGCCTTGAGACTGCATGTTAATCTTCCATTCAGAACTCATCAGCAGCTCAGTCCTTCTTATGTCTAGTCTCAGTTCATTCAGCCAAAGCTCATTTTTGTCCTATCCGAAGTAGAAAGGGTTCTTTTAAAAAACTCGAAGAATGTGCCTCCTCTTAGCATCTGTTTCTGACTCTCAGTTATTTTTAAAATAAATGATGAATAAAATGCCTGCCCTGAAGGGTTCTGGAGGAGTCAGGTATCACTCATCAGGTGATAGTGTAATTCATTCCTCCAGGAGGCAGGAACAGAGGAGGATCACCTATCTGGATCTGAGGGGTCTACGGAGCCTCCTGGAGGGAGGGAGTGTGACACCTTCAGTTCAATCTTCAAGGACAAGTGGAACCTGGGTCTTTACAGGATACGGATTTTCTTCCCCGTCCCTTTCTCTTGGTACTCGGACTTTTTCCTTACTTCTGTCCAAGAAGGGCACTGCCACCTGCTGGCCCAGCATTTCCCTTCCCCTCCCCGGGCTGGGAGGCCTCCGGTAGCCGCTGCTGCCCCCTAGTGGGGAGACTGCAGAGAGGCCTCCCCTGCTGTTTCTGGATCCCTATGAGTTGAGCCCCTTAAGTAATTGATAGAAACAGGAGCTGGAGGAGCTGCAGATACTATTAGGGATGATGGAACTGTGCGTTAGGGGATGCTCTTCCAAAGGCATCCTGTCTCCTCAATCCCCTACCCAAGAAAGGTGTTTAGCAACAGGGGTGCCTCCACCCCTTCCAAGAGAAACCCAAGCCTTATGGGAGGGGGCATTTCCAGGCACACAAAGTGGTCCCATATGCATGGATACAGCTGAGCTTTTTTTTGAGGCAGGATCTTGCTCTATTGTCCAGGCTGGAGTGCAGTGGTGCGACCAGGGTTCACTGCACCCTCCAGCCGGGCTCAAGCAATCCTCCCACCCCAGCCTCCCAAGTAACTGGCCCTAGACTCAAGTGATCCTCCTGCCTTGGCCTCCCAAAGTGCTAGATTACAACCCTCAGCCACCATTCCCAGACAGTGAACCATTTTTAAATGGTCAGACAGAACCTTGGGAGTACAGAGAGCTCTAAAAGGTTGAATTAGCCGCTGGAATCTGTGAGGGTAACTCAGGGCTGGAGCTGGTATCTGCTAAGGACTCACCCCTTGGAAGTCCATTCTGGAAAGACTTTAGGGGTGCCTCACTGAGGAATGAGGGAAATACTGAATGTCTGTTAAGCCATGTGATCCTGTACCTCATGGTGCTACAGGGGCAGCACAGGATCTGGGGTAAGATGGCCTGGCCCAGGCCTCGCTCCCCCACCCCCATAGGCTTTCCCGTTCCCTTTCCTCCGTGGGAAGGCTCCTCACCTTTCCTGTCTTCATTTCCCAATATACACAACAGCAATCATAATGCTGTCTCACAGGTGGTGAGGCACTTCCTTCAATCCTCAGATCAACTCCATAAGGTAGGTAGTATCCTCCCATTTTACAGGTAAGAAAACTGGGACTCTAGGGTCACAAGCTCGTAAGTGACTGAACCAGGTCTGATTCCAAAACTTGTGACCACAGCACTGCATAGCCTCACATGAAATAGCACAGGAAAGGAAAGAAAATCAACTGTGCTATACTATGTAGGAAGTTGAAAATGTCTCAAAATCTAGAAGGATGGAGACTGTTTCTTAAGGAATGAGTGTGAGTATTAGCAAGGAATTGGTGAGAGGGGCTTCCTAATGTGAAATGGGCATAGATTATTCCTAAATGTATACCCCCAGGAAAGCTTCCTTCTAACTTTTTCATTCCATTATTTAACATTTAACACCTATTCTGTGCCTGGCATGGTGCTGGATTCCTGCCCTAGAGCAGTTACAGTCTTGGGAGGAAGACAGGGAACCATGGCTGCCATTACTGTTTGATCAGTGTCAGCCTTTGCTATTGCAACTCAGAGGCACCCCACTCACGGTGGTTGCAGATAGCTGAGATGAATTGAAGAGTTCAGTGCAGGTTTCCAGGAAATAAATCTCAAACTGCACTTTAAAAGAAGAGGGAGGCCAGATGCGGGGGCTCACGCATGTAATCCCAGCACTTTGGGAGGCCGAGGCGGGCGGATCACCTGAGGTCGGGAGTTCGAGACTAACCTGACCAACATGGAGAAGCCCTATCTCTACTAAAAATACAAAATTAGCCAGGCGTGGTGGTGCATGCCTGTAATCCCAGCTACTTGGGAGGCTGAGGCAGGAGAATCACTTAAACCCGGGAAGTGGAGATTGCAGTACTGAGATCGCGCCATTGCACTCCAGCCTGGGCAACAAGAAACTCCGTCTCAAAAAAAAAAAAAAAGAAAGAAAAAAAAAAAAAAGAAAAGAAAGAAAAAAAAGAAAGAAAGGAAGACCAGCCAGCGAGAGGAGTGAGCACTGGCTTTGCAGCAGAAAAAGATGGCTTCAAATCATGATTGTCATGTACTAATTGATCTTGGTACATTACATAACCTCTCTGAGTCCAGTTTTCTTATTTGTAAAATGTGCAAAATAAGGCCTCACTTATGAGGCTAAGGCCTACCTGCTATATGTAAAGTAGGATGTATGTGTGTTCAGTGAGTAGCTGCATTATTATTCACTGTTGTGAAGGAGAGGTAGAGTGTTTCAAGCCCCACTGAGGAAAGGGTTTTGGCTTATTTTTGAAACATGTAGTGGAGATGTAGAGGGGGGATGTGGAAGATGGGGCTCCAAAATGCAGTCAGGCAGACCAAGAAAGGCCTTACTACATGCCTTGTTAAGGAGTCTGGAGTTTATGCATGTGGGAAGTTAGAAGTAAATTAAGATTTTAAGTATAAGCAGTGTGATCGAGACTGTACCTCTTAGCATGGGATATTCCAAGTTCTTTTCTAGGAATAGAAAGTAAGTGAAATCACTAAGGCATCATCTAAGATCAGAAGAAGACGGCTGGGCATGGTTGCTCACGCTTGTAATACTGCACTTTGGGAGGCCAAGGCAGGTGGATCACCTGAGGTCAGGAGTTTGAGACCAACCTGGCCAACCTCGTCTGTGAAACCTTGTCTCTACTAAAAATACAAAAAAAATTAGCCGGGCATGGTAGCCGGGCGTCTGTGTAGTCCCAGCTACTCAGGAGGCTGAGCGGAGTAGAATCACTTGAACCTGGAAGCAGAGTTGCAGTGGAGCTTAGATCGTGCCCCTGCACTCCAGCCTGGGTGACAGAGTTGAACTCATCTCAAAAAAAAAAAATCAGAAGGAACCCCAGCTGCGGTTGGAGTCCTAGGACAATATGCAGACCAAGCTTTTTAGGCCTTGTCTTGCGGAAGGCTTATCTACTGGGCAATCAGAGAGGGCCAGGAGGCTGCAGAACTGCAGGAGAGTGGACTAGTCCTCGCCCTCCATCACTTCCCTTTCCCCAGGATTGTTTTCTAACAATCTCTTGCATTTGCACTGGACTTTATGACTTGCAAAGCTCCTGCATGGGAGGTAGGGTACAGTTAGCCTTTTCCAATCCCCATTTTACAGAAGAAGAAACTGAGAACTGGGAACCGTGTGACTAACCTAGGTGGCACAGCTAATAAGTGATAGGAATGAAAATCTAACCCAGCTCGGTGTACAGCGTCCCTCTCCCCTCACCTGCTGCTGTCTCTAAGCTCTATGGTAAGGGGAATAGCAAGGGAGGTCAGTGTATCCATCCATGCCGCCATGTGACCTACAGACCATGCCCAAAGCTTTGAGCCAAAGGCCTCCAGCTTGAGAAAGAACTCAAGTTGTAGTTTGAGTGAGATCAAACATGAGTGAGGGCAGGAGCTTCATGTCAGGATAAAACACCTGCAGAAGTACAACACAAGGCAGGATCCAGGCAAGCACTGACGAGGAGGGCACACAGAAGGACCCAGGCAAGCTGGGCAGATCAAAATGACAATATGTATTAGTTCCCTAGGGCTGCTCTAACAAAAACACCACAATTAGGTGACTTAAAACAGAAACGGATTGTGTCACAATTCTGGAGGCTAGAAGTCTCAAGCCAAGATGTCAGAAGAGCTGTGTTCTCTTGGAAGGCTCCCAGGGTGGGGGTGGGGAGGGCAGGATTCTTCTGTGCTTCCTCCTACCTCCTGGTGTTTGCTGGTAATCTTTGGTGTTGCTTGGCTTATGGCAGCATAACTCCAATCTCTGCCTCCATCTTCACATGACCTTATAAGGACAACAGTCATTGGATTAAGGCCTGTCCTAACCCAGTATGACCTCATTTGAACTCGACTATGTCTGCAAAGACCCTGTTTCCAAATAAAGTCACATTCACAGGTACTAGGGGTTAAAACTTCAATATATCTTTTGGGGGGTGTCATTCAACTCAAAACTCAATGTAATGGATCGATGAGCAATACAGGAAAAGCAAGAGCCCCCTAGGGACTGAGCACCTCTGGGAAGGCTGCCTACAGGAGCCCACTGTTGTAAGTGAGCCTGCAGGGAAGGGAGAGCTGAGGTGCCAAGCACACTGAGCAAAGGGGCCTTTTGGGGAGTGGTGTGAAAAGACTTCAAAAGGCACGTTGTAGTCTGTGCAAACCTTGAGTTGGGGAGTTAATGCGTCAAGAGGAAGGGTTTGGGGCAGGTCAGCCTAAGTGTGATGGAGCTGTTCTGGCTGTTCCTCTCAGACCTCACCGCTCTCTACCCTCAGGGCAAGTGGTGACAGAGGAGGGAGAGACAATCCCTGGGGGAAGGGGAAGGGCCAGTTAGCTGCAAAATGTCTTTAGAGTTTGGTGTTCCCTGGGGTATGATCCTTTTTATTTTAATGGTTGAATTGTGGGCTGTTTCCCAAATATTTCCAGTTCATTTTGAGCTCCCCAGGCAGGAACTTGGCTCAAAGAAGGGGGAGAAGCCCTGTTCCTGACTCCACAAAGCAGAGCACCAAGAACCCACCATCGCAGCACAGAGGGCAAAGTGTACTTCTTTCCAAGAGTGAGCTCTTTGCCGATCCTGTGCAGCTGCTATTTCATACCAGATGAGCTTCCTGCAACTCCAGCCAGCACACTCTGGACCTGCCTGCCCCAACATACACACACACACACACACACTCTCCACACTCTCCCCCTTCTTTCTTACTCTCATGCCTGCACGTTCACTCATGTCACACACATGCTCTCACACATCCCACAAATACACTCACACACACTTATCTCACAAACCGCCCACTCTTACACACTCACCTTATGTAAACACTCACATATTTACATTCACAGGATGATTCATGCTCTCACACACACCTCACATTCATGCTTCACACTCACCTTGTACTCTTACCCCTCAAATCCACACATGCCTTACACACTTATCCTCATTTGTAAACCTCAGATAACACACCTTACACTCTTACACGTTCATATACACATCCATATGCCCTTCCACACACATGTTCATGCACATACTTTTGCTCTTACACTCACACACTCACATTCCCAGACTCACATTCTGAGCAGGCATCCATGCTCGGAGTCCTTTAATTTGGGGGTGAGTGGCTGCAACGTTACCCAGGCCTCACCCCTCCCTCCAGAACCCCAAACTGCAGTTTGCCATCGTGGCTAGGGGAATCTTTTGCACCCTTCTAAAGATGGTGAGGTGTTTTACAGGTAAGGAAATGGAGACCCAAGAAGTCCCGTGACTTCCACAAGAGCTCCTGAGCGCCATGAAGCAGGGAACCCGGTCTTCCTCACTTACCCTCACATGCTTAGCTTCCTGTGCCTGGCACAGAACCAGCACTTGATATACCTGTGTTGAGTAAATGACTGGATGGCTCCCTGAGGGGAAGAACTGGGAAAGATCCTAGTGAGGAAGTCCCAGTTCCTAATTTAGCCAAACTGGACTCTCCTGGCTCTTGAGACAGTTTCTTTTTTTCATGCATAATCCCTCAGCCACTGCCCCGCTCCACAAAGGAAACAGATGACTAGGAGGGTCCATGGGATGAGAGCTGGAGGCCAGAGACTCATCTGAACACTTGGTGCCTGAAGTGACATTTTGGAGTTGATGGGTTTCCAGGTGGTTGGGGAGAAATCTATCCTCCTCCCTTTAGCGTGCCTGCAGCATGGACAGTGGGACAAGAAGGAGCTCCAGGCTGCCAGCTGCTGGCCTTCTGCTCTGCTTGGTTTCTCACTGGGCTGTCGGGGCTCCTCCCCTGCTCAGCCTTGGAAGGGAGCACATGGCTGTGCCAGCAGGGCTGGGAACCCCCATGGCCCCATGCACTGTCTTACGGTGGCCCATCCTGCCTTCCTTACCTGGAGGATGACACAGGACTTTGGGGCACTCTGCCTGCCATTCAACAGACAATGGGCCTTAGTCCTAATCACAGCCTAGCAATTCATAGTCTCAACACCAAACATTTGTAAGGGAATAGTAATTTACAAATCCTTTTCCCAGGCTCCCCTGTTCCAGATCTGATGGGCCCATCTGTAGAAAGAGACTGGACTGGAGCTTCCCTTCCAACTTCATCTTACTCCACCCCAAACCTTCGCTCCCAGTGCCTCGGGGCAGCCAGTTCAACCCTGGGTGGCAGGTGACCTCGTTATCTTCACTCCTCTCTCCCTCACACAGCCACTAGCTTAGTCCAGACTGTCACCATCCCTTGTGAGGACAGTTTCAGTAGCCTCCCAACTCCATCCCCTACCTTCAGGCTCCCCACCAGACCCCCTCCACATGGCTGCTAGACTCCTCTGCTCTTGTCTACAGATCTGACCATATCCTTGTGGAGCGTAAGCAGCCTCCTTCTAAGGATCCTCATGAAGTCCCACCCTTCCCACCTCCCCTTCTTACCTCTGCCCAGTGCTCCTGAATGCGTCCAGCTGTTCCTTGACTCCCTGTCCCCTCTGCCCAGAATGCCCCCTTAATGGTGTACCTGGCGAATCCAAGCCACTGTCTCCCCACCCCACCTCATCCCCATGCACACAAAACTTTTAAGGTACTTCTCAGGACTGTAATGATATTATTAACTCTTACAGGCCCAGGGCATCACACAGAGTGCCTGGCATGCGATATCTAATTATGTAGCAAACAACTGAGTTGAATAAAAGCCAGAAATCAAAGAGCCCAGAGGCAGCACCAGCGTTGAGGGAATCTTTAGGGTGCTCCCTTTCCCTCTGAGTTCCTCTATGGCCTGCAACTGACACAAGGAACCAGATCCAGGAAATAAGCAATATTTCGACTCCCCCTGCTCAGGGATTGAGTTGCCTCTCCCCTTGACTGTGGGCACTCTCAGGGGTCCTAGGTCAGACCTGAGCTTTTCATGAGTTGTGGGTGAGAACCAGCTGATTAACCCAGTCTGGTAGTAATAGCCCCTCAGTACCAGATTGTGCTAGTGTTATTTGGGGCCAAGAGAAATGCTGGCTCTTGCCTTTCCTTACCAAGGGCCAGGAGCTGGTGACCCAGCTAAAGAATGTGCTTTGCTTGGGGTTTACATTCCAGGATCGGCTTGGGAGGCCAAGGGCTCAGGTTGCCAGTGGGAGCCAGGCACAGGGCAGGGGGATGGCAATGGACAGACCTTTCTCCCACCTCCCTCCTGGGCACACTTTCCATGCCCTGCCCTGCCTGGTCATTCCAAGTGGAGGCAGGGCCAGGAGGAAGACCCTCAGCCCCTTCATAGGGAGCAGCATTTAAATGGAGTGTGAAGTGACCTAGTATCCACTGCCATAAACCCCTACCTGCTGGGGAGCCTTTAACAGCTTACAAAGTATCTCCAAGTTTGGGGTCTTCTTTGAACAATTAGGAACTAAGGGCTGGGAGACTGAGTCACCTGTCCCAGGTTATGTGGCCAGCAAGCAGCAGAGTTGGGTGTAGCACCTCACCTCCTGACTTCCATTCCCAGGCTCATTGTACCTCCTGCCACATCTATATCAACAGCCTCTGTACCCCAACATCCAACCAGAAGCCCTGACTTCACAGGGTCAGTGACGAATCAATAAAATAGTGAGTGTGAAAGGGTGGACTGTAAAGATGGGGGGTTATTTTTCTTTACTCATCCTTTACTCACAAACGATCTCAGGTGACTACAATGTAACAGAGCAAGTTAGTAGAAAGTACTTGAAGACCCATGGAAGAATCCCATGAAAATTTTCCCCAGTCACTGGCATAGCTTCCCCCTCTCCACTCCCCAGCACCAACACTTCCCAACTCCACAGCAATGGAAGTGATACATCCTCCGTGACTGGGAAAAGGACACAGGAGTGAAGGGCAGAAAAAGAGAAAAATCTCTAGTTTTGCTACTAACGATGGGGTAAGAAGACCCTTTCTAAAACAGTGACTGGAAGTTCTAGACTTTATTTGTTTATTGAGACGGAGTTTCACTCTTGTTGCCCAGGCTGGAGTGCAATGGTGCGGTCTCGGCTCATTGCAACCTCTGCCTCCCAGGTTCAAGCAATTCTCCTGCCTCAGCCTCCCAAGTAGCTGGGATTACAGGTGCCTGGCTAATTTTTGGTTTTTTAGCAGAGACGGGGTTTCACCATGTTGGCCAGGCTGGTCTCGAACTCCTGACCTCAGGTGAGCCGCCCACCTTGGCCTCCCAAAGTGCTGGGATTACAGGCGTGAGTCACCGCGCCTGGTCCCTCCAGACTTTAAATCTATACATATATCCACCCACTCCACCTCCCAACTCTCAGAACAACTTCCTTCAGGTGTTCAAATCTAGCACTAAGAGTTGTTAAGAGGTCCTTTTCTTTTCTCTCTCAGGTCGTCAGCTCCTTCCTCCTCCCTTAACCCAAAGCTCCAGCCCTGGGCTGTTTCAATGACTGCTTCCTAGCTCTGAGCTTATCTTAACTGTCTTCTGTCCCAAATCAGATCAGCTACAGCTCAGGGCACTCTGATAACCCCTCGCTGTCACACACACTAGGTGGGCATACACACTCTTGTGTCTCTGCCAAAATTGGGGGAGGGAACTTGGGAGGATCAGAGCCCAGCCAAGCCCCAGGCAGACTGATGGGAAACCATCAATCTGATGACTTCACTTCTAATTTCATCCCACAGCAAACCCAGGAGGTAGTCATTTCAGATGAGGAAACTATGACACAGAGCAGTTTAGTGTACTTGAGACTCTGGGCAAGTCAGGAATCCTCTCTAAGCCAAAGTATGGTGGCTAAGAGTGCTGTTTCTGGGGCCAGATTGGACCCCAGGCAATCTGGCTTCACCACTTGACAGCTCTGTGACCCTGCATAGGCCCTTAATTGCTCTGTGTCTTACTTTCCTCACACCCAATGGGGATATCATAGGCTAGTCCCTACTTCATACAGTTGTAGAAAGGGTTGAATTCATTAATACAGGAAATCTAGGGAACAGTGGCTGGCACACAGTATGTTAGCTGCATAAAAGAATAGTTCTTATTTACACATGAAGTGGTGGAGACAGGAGTTATAGTCACAGTCAGAGCAGAGCCTGAAGCCCAGGATGCCAGATTCTTGAGCCAAAAACATTATGCCAGCCTGGGGATGCGAGATGGAATGCGGCTCCTAAATGTCCAGTACTGAGGGAATCAGTTACCAGGTGGCAAAAGAAAGCGAGTGGCTGAGATTTCTAATTTGTCCCTGCTTAGATATTGCGGAGAAGTTACAGCAGATTTGAAACGAAACCGAGAGCTGGTTTATCCAAATCTCCTTTTACAGATAAGGAACCACCCCTAAAAGACAAAGTCCTTGGCTGCAGTGTGGCATGGGTTGGTGGTGGAAGTGGAACTGGACTTCGGCACACTTGCCTCCTGTCTGTCTGCGTGTGCTCTCCCTCCCACTCCAGGCGGGAGACAGGGCAAGCTCTTTGGCCTGGGGAGAAGAGCTAGCTTCTCCTTCAGTCACATCCCCTCCCAGGCCTGGTCTGTGAATAACATTCGGTTTCTCAGGGTAATTGAGAGCTTGAGGGCTGTCTTCAGTGTTTGCAGCACAAATTTCTCCAAACTTCCGGCAGGACGTACTAGAATTTAGAATTTAGAACCAGGGCTGGCTTAATAAATGTTAGATATTTTTATAGCTGTTATTACAATTACTCAGTCCATATTTGTCGAATGAATGAATGAATGAATGAATGAATGAATGAACAAATGAGTGGCTTACTGGAGGAACAAATGGCCTAAACCGACTTCTGCTTGTGGTCACAGCTTTGGGCATCCCATAAAACATGCTAGGCTTAGTTTGGTCAGAAGAGGGCAGCTTTGAGCTAGGCTTCCCAATTTGCCAGCGACTGACAGGATTTGCATCCCTCTCTTGGCGGGGAGGTGGGGAATACTACAGGCTGTAATTCATCCTCAGGGCTCAAGACTCATCTTACAGGTTATCTGAGATCTGCCTTACGTGCTCCCAACCCTCACCTGACCCCCATAGCATGGCCTTGGTGCCTCTCACCTGTGCTCCTGCCTGCACCCTGCTCCCACCAGGACACATCATAGCAGTCCACACTCTGAGCTGCTTTCAAATCCCCTTTTACCAGTCTGGACCCACCCTTACTCCCCTACAGACACACACACAGATTGTGAAGTGTTTAAGGACCAGGACAGACATTTGTTCCCACTTGTTTTCCCAGCACAGCACATAGTAGATCCAATAAACAGCTTTCTCCCATGACCCCCTCAGACATGGATCAGCCATGGGACTTGGGGCTGGGGGGTAGGCGTTTCCCTTCCAGGAGTCAACAGTGGGGCAGGCAGGATTGAGAGTAGCTTAGCTCAGCCCAGATATCTCAGCACATCCACACATCCAACCACATGACCCAGGAATTCCCCAAGACTGCTGGTGGCAGAGTCCCTGACCAACACGGATTCCCTGTCAGGCACTCTCGCTCTCCCACCAACCAGACCTCCTTTAAGGAATTTGAGATCTGAGTTTCAGCAGCTTAGATCATTTCCGAGTCACATGCTGTTCTGGCTCTGTGTCTTCCTTGCCTGCCTGCTGTGATCTTTGGTCACCCATGGTTCCTTACCTAGATGGGAATTCAGATTGTAGTCAAAGGAAGCTGGAGCAGGGGTGAGAAGGTCCAAGAAGAGGTTGCAGATGACTCCCCGCCGACCATGGCCAGATAGCTGGTAATGGAGTGGGCCCAATCACATGTAGGTGTTTTTAGTTTCGTCTTTGGATTCCATCGCACATCCATTCCTTCAGTTCATAAGCATCCATGGAGCACCTTTTGTGTGCCTTGTAGCACACTGGGTGTTGTACTGGAAAAAGTTACAGGAGTGTAGCTAGATTAAGCCTTAAAATAAGTATTAGGCTCATCTGTGTAATTCTTTCATCTTATGAAGAAATGTTGATTCAGCTGGCCAATTGCCCCTTGTCCTTCAGGTCTCAACTTAAAAAGCTCTGGCTTTAGGAATCTGCCCCTGACCAGCCTCCTCCCACCTGGGATATATATCTTAAAGGTAATCTGAGCTGGGCACAGTGGCTCATGTCTGTAATCCCAACACTTTGGGAGGCCGAGGAGGGCAGATCACCTGAGGTCAGGAGTTTGAGACCAGCCTGACCAACATGGAGAAACTCCGTCTCTGCTAAAAATACAAAATTAGCTGGGCGTGGTGGCGCATGCCTGTAATCCCAGCTACTCAGGAGGCTGAGGCAGAAGAATTGCTTTAACCCAGGAGGCGGAGATTGTGGTGAGCTGAGATCACATCATAGCACTCCAGCCTGGGCAACAAAAGCAAAACTCCATCTCAAAAAAAAAAAAAAAAAGGCAATCTGTTCTTCTTCCATCATGGACCCTTCTCCCTCTGTCCAGGATTTACTTGTTTATTTCTCACTAGACTGAGAACACTCCAAAGGCAGAGATCTTGTCACCATTGTATCCTCAGGCTCAGCACCTAGTGGGCACCAGTATTTGTAGAATGAAGTAATTAGTAGAAGGCCACAGAACTGGTTAGTGTCAGAGTCAGGACTCAAACTCAGGTCTCCCAACACTAGGCCCTGTGCTTGCGTTACCCATGCTTCCTTTACAGAATCGTAATCGTCTGGATGAGCCCCCAGGAACAGAAGCAGATTTCAGAGAGGAAAGGAAATAGCAAATCAGGGCAACTATCTCTGGGCCTCATCCTATTTGCACAGATAACCAAAAGGGGAGGCTGGTGGAGGGAGGAATGCCAAACCGGCCACCACCTCCTGTGGCCCTCCAAATTTGGGACAGATACATTGGTTTCCTGTGTAAGATGGATCCTCTCCAGTCACAAAGGAGATAAAGAGCTCCACGGAGGGATGGAGACATCCGTAACTCACACTAGAAAAAAAAAATCAAAGGATCAGTGGAAGTAGAAAAGTGGGCAGCCACTGGGGGTGAGTCCTTCTCCATCCTCAGCACACCCTGGATACACAGGGGAGGCACTATCCTCCTGAAGGCCTGAGGGGAAGGCTGGCTCCCCAGCATAGCTAGAATCCATCCAGGGCCCTAAACTGGCTGGCAGAAGGGGTTTCCCTCAGCGAAGAGGATCCAGGTCTATTGTCCTCCATTCTCTTCCTTGAGGACCAGGGTCTAAATCCTGCCACTTTGTTACCAGTTGTGTGGCCTTGGGCAGAATAATACTCATTTCACGGGATTAGGTTATCAAGATGGCCAAAGGGGAAATGTTCCCTCTCCCCCATTTAAAGCAAGAAGGAAAACCTATGGCCATTCTCATTCCACTCTAAATGAGCACTCAGAGTGGAGATTCTGGACCTAGCAACTCCAGGCCTCAAAAACCAAGTCAAACCTCATAACCTACCACCAATGCTCCTGGCACCAAAAGCACAAGAAAACCTTGGGTGGAGCAACTATTTTCAGATTTAGGGACACAGGTTAGATAGCTGGCATGTAAAAATTTTAAATAAATACATGTCCCTTTGGGTTCTCTCCACCTCCGGCCAACACATCACAAATAAATTCCACCAAGTGGTTGAGGGAATCTACTCAACCTTAGAAGCCCTCTTTTTTTTTTTTTTTTGAGACAGAGCCTCACTTTGTTGCCCAGGCTGGAGTGCAGTCGCGCCATCTCAGCTCACTGCAACCTCTGCTTCCTGGGTTCAAGCGATTCTTCTGCCTCAGCCTCCCGAGTAGCTGGGATTACAGGCGTGCCCCACCATGCCCGGCTTTTTGTATCTTTAGTGGAGACGGAATTTCGTCATGTTGGCCAGGCTGGTCTTGAACTCCTGGACCTCAGGTGATTTGCCTAAGAAGCCCTCTTTGAGGAAGAAGAAAGACGTTTCCAGGCCATTGGATTCCAATATCCAAGTAAGGTTGATCTCACTGAAGACAAGTGAACTCGAACCATAGAACAGCTCTGCACTAACCCTCCCACTAGGCTGGATTCTGCCTTGTCCTATCCCAGCTCCCTTTCTCCTTTATGGACTTAATGAAGTGGTCAAGCAATTATAGATTTTGGCTTGGGACAAGCAAATTACTCAGGATGAAGAAATACTTTGGTGACCTCTGAGCCGACTGAGAACACAGTACAATAAAACAACAGGGCATTAACCAGGACCAAGCGCCACTCAGAAGCAAGTACAGCTCCAAGGGCCCTCAGAGTAAGGTTCTGGGCCTCAGGCAGCCTCCGCTAGAATCCCCTAGTCCCCATTCCTGGTGGGCGGGGCTCCATTGACACCTTTCCCGGCCACGCCTAGGGGGAGGAGGCGGGGCCTGGAACTCCGGAGAGCCAATGTGGGCGGCCGTGGTCACGCGCCGCCGTCGAGCAGGCCAATGGGCGCCGGGGGGCGTGTCCAGGGCCTCGGACTCAGGGCGTCTATAACTACTTGGAATGCTGTGCTTTACTGCGCGCTGTGGTACTGCTGTGGCTCCCCGTCCGGGTGCGGGACCTGTGCCCCGCGCTTCAGCCCTCCCGGCACAGCCTATTGATTCCCCTGCCGCCCTCGCTCACCTCCTGCTCGCCATGGAGTCGCTGGTTTTCGCGCGGCGCTCCGGCCCCACTCCCTCGGCCGCAGAGCTCACCCGGCCGCTGGCGGAAGGGCTGATCAAGTCGCCCAAGCCCCTGATGAAGAAGCAGGCGGTGAAGCGGCACCACCACAAGCACAACCTGCGGCACCGCTACGAGTTCCTGGAGACCCTGGGCAAAGGCACCTACGGGAAGGTGAAGAAGGCGCGGGAGAGCTCGGGGCGCCTGGTGAGTGCGGCTCCCTCTCGCGGCGCGGGGCGGGCTCGGGCTTGGCCGCCGGCGGGGAGCGGAGGAGGGCGGGCGGGGGCTCGCTCGTTGCTCGGCGGAGAGGCCAACGTGATCTTTACCGCGCTGAGCTTGCGTGGCTACCGCGTGGTGTCCCTGGCAGATGTGTCGGTCCGTGATTGTAGGGACAGTGGTCGCAAAGTTGCGAACCCCAGCCAGCAACACCACACTGCTGTGATGATTGTCAAATAAAAGGGAGGCTATGGATAGTTGGCGCGGAAAGACGAATCGTGTCGTGTCCTGGGATAAGATTAGTTGAATTTTGCTGGGAACAGACTGTTCAATAGAGTACAATGGGAAGAGGAAGTAGAAGGCACCCCATCTTAATAGGTATTTGGTAAATATGTGTGTGGTTGAATGAATGGATGAGGTGTGGAGTTCCCCAACTCCAAGAATCTGGCAGCCCAGCGCACTGGAGCTCTGGCACAGCGGGTGGATTTTGACATTTAGGTCCTTTCCAGCTCTAAAATTTAGTTGAAGTTTCATTATGATGAGTTTTTGATTCTGGAAAATGTGAAACCACCTCCACTGTACCAGAGACACCTTTCGTTTTGGGGGCCTTTTCAAGAACATGCCCTGTTACTTTGGTGCGACTGTAGTAGTTTAGCAATCTGTGTGACCTTGGGCAATTTCCTTCATCTCTGTACTTTGTTTCCCCTTTTGCAGAACTGTAGAAAACACAGCCTGCCTCACAAGCTGCTGTGAGGATTGAATAAGATCGAAATATGAACTATATTGCTCCTGATACATAGAACTTGCAGTGAGAACTTCTGGAAGGCCAGCCCAGAAAGGATGGCAAATTTGTCAAAAGTTAGTTAGCAGTGGTTAACTGGTTCTCAAACTTGAGTTTAAAGTACATAAGAATCACCTGGGATGTTTGTTTAAAATACTTACATTCTCTGGTTCCACACCCAGAGTAGTTAATTCTGAAGGGCTAGGATAGGGCCATATAATATATATTTTAACCAACCTTTTAGAGCAGGTGGTTTAGGCATTATTATGTTTTGCCAAATCCAGTTGGGTGCTGGTTGTGAGGGTGTGTGTGTGTGTGTGTGTGTGTGTGTGTGTGTGTATGGTTTGCCCTGTTGGCTACATCAGCAGTTACTTCCCCAGATTGTGTTTGCTTTTGCAGCCAGTAGCTGGTTTGAAATTCAAGAAGTCATTTCATTGGTGAAGGAGAGTGGATGTTGGAGAAAGGGATAGAGTATGGCCCCATCAATAGCACCGAGTATGTTTTTCCTGCTATCGCCTGGCACAGTCCCCAGTTGCCTGCTGCCAGGTTACAGCTATTGGGCAATCATGTACTTCCTGGCTTGCCTTTTCTTTCTCTTTCTACAAAGTCTGAAGGCCTGGTGAAGCTCCAGGCTTGAAGCTGTTGGACCCAGGCTTTTTCAGTGGCTTAGCTGGAAAATAACTGCTGGTGGCTTGTGCTTCATGCCTCTTGGGGGTGGGGAGACTGGGTCGTGGGGACTGGGGTGGCCCAGAAACTGAGAACCTGAGATTGAAGTTCAGAGATCCCATCAGGCTCTTGACCCAGGTCACTGTGGGGTGTGTGTGTGGGTGTGTGTGTGGGTGTGTGTGTGGACATGCGTGAGAGAGAGAGAGTAAGAGAGAGATCTCATTTGATTCCAGAATGAGATAAACTAGCTTTCAGTTTTCAAACCTCAGTGGATTTAGACAGGGATTCCAGCTCTTATTACATCAGAAGATACTCCCTGGCCTCATGCCTCTTGCTCTATGTAGGAAGCCAAGATCAGTAGGCATGGGACCTGCTGTGAACCTCCCTGATCCATAGACCACCCAGTTCTGCAGCTGGGAACTTGCTCAGGGTCTCCTTCCTTCTTGGAGAGCGGCTGCCTGCTGTGCTAATGGTTTCTCAGTTCTGGAGCATTGCCTCTTCCCCACCCCACCCCACCCCTGCCTCTTGACTGTCCTCCGTGAATCGAGAGAGCCCTAGTACCTCAGGATACTTCAGTGGGGGAGGGGGGTGTGGGAGCTTGCTCAAGACCTCCCCCAGAATGAATTGAGATTGTTGGTGGGAGCTAGATTCAGAGGAAAGCCTGCTGGGTGACTTCTATCCCAATTTTCTCTCCGCCTTTCTAGCATGCTTCCTGCTCCCAACCTGCCTAGATGGGATTTTCGGGGCCAGATGGGATTGGCAGAGGGGAAGGGCAGGTGGGCGGAACTAATGGAACTAACTAGGAGGGCATCAAAGGAAAAACAAATATTTGCTCTGGCTCTTCAGTACATTCCTGGTATCCAAATGACATTTCCTCCTGGGACTCTCCCAGCTCCCCTGGCCACCCCTCCCCCTAAACAGAAAAACACATGCTGGGGTCTCTGAAATGGAGTCCACCAAAGCCTTTGGATGATCTGCATGGAAGTCTTACCTTCAAGGTGCAACATGAGGGGCATGAGTCCAAGTGGATGGTGCTCTGGAGCGAGAGTGCTTCTGTCTTTTTCATGTGTTGGAGTGCAGTGCAGGATTTGAAAATGCTTGAAAATGACGGAGGTGGTCTGATTCCTTCACTGACAGAGTAGCTGAGGCCCGCAGAAGGGAAGTGACTTACCCTGTAGCTGGTGAGTGGCATGCCTGCAACTTGGTCTCCTGGATGACCAAGTACTGAGTCCTAGACTGGGAGTTGGCCTTGAGATGAGCCCGGGCTTGCTTCAGTGTGCTTTGTTATTCCAAAAGTTAGCTCCCGCTGCCTTTCCCAGCGCTCCAGGCTGTGCTTCAGGTGGGAAGAGTCACTGGGAACCAACCCCCACCCTCACATACAATGACTGTGTTGAAGGATTCGGGGTGGGTGAACTATACTGTATTCCTGGGTTTCAAACCTTGTTGGGGATGCTGCCTAGCTGAGAGTCAAGGCTGCGAGCATCCAAATCGTGGCTCCATTGCTTACCAGCTGTGCAACCTCTCTGTACCTCAGTTTCCTTATCTGTAAAGTGGGGGTGATGATCATTCCTACCTAGTGGGATTCTCTTAGGATTAAGTAAGACAGCATATGTAAAGTGCATAGCACAGTATCTGACACACACAGTGTTGTTATCCCAGCAGGGCTGGCTTTGATGAAGTCCTGCCCTTCCCTTTCCTGGGAAATCCCTGTGTCCTGGAGGTCTGTCCTACCCTAAGAAAGAGTAAGGATTGTGCTGGGCTTCCCTAAGCCAAACCACTTTGGTTGCTGCTTTGTTCAAAGTCCTCGTTTCTCCTTCGGCCCCAGCTCCAGAGGACTCCTGCCTGGCTGGCTGCCAAGGGCTTGCTTGGCGGGACACTGCCCTCCCTGCTCCCTCTGCACCTGCCCGCTCAGTAGCAGGGAGGGAGGCTGCAGGCCACTCTTGTCCTTGAGCCCCAGCCAAACCACACAAGAAGGCTGGGCAGGGAAGCTCTTTGCCCAGCAACCTGGTAGAGGGGGCTGGAGGATGGCAAGGAGGGGGCAGCACAGTATGGGGAGGTGGCTCAGGCTCCCTTTGGAGCCTATTCCTGATCCCTGCCTAGCTCTCTGGCTGGTGTGGTGGGATGGTAAGCCACCCCTAGGCCCATCCCCATCTGCCCAGCCTGGGCCAGCCCAGCCCAACCTCTCCTCCGTTATCTAAATGGGTCATCCTCCAGCTCCTTGCCCTGCCTCCCAGACAGCAGCTGCTCCACTAAACACCAGAGAGGAATCAGGGATCTTGGCTTCAGCTCCAGGTGATAACTGTGACCAGAGATGCCCAGCTTGCACCTTCTCTCCCTCCACCTGGAACCAGCATCTCTGGATCTTCTTTTCCTAAGACCTTTCTACCATCCTCTCCTGAATCCAGATCATTCCTGATCTGAGTCCCTGGGAGGGAGGCAGTGTTTACCAATTGAGCCACAGCACCTACCTCTCCAGGGTGTTGATAAAGGAGTGGGCATATTTGTATGTCTGTAAGTGGGATGGGGTGGCTGGGCGATGCTGCACAGCCTGGCCTAGGGCAAGATATAGGGCATTCCCTTCTCCAGGGATGGGAGGCAGGCAGGGAATCTCCATGGCTGAGATGGAAGCTTCTCCAGGCACCATCCTTCCATCTTCAATCCTGATTGTGTCTTGATGGGTTGTGGAACCTTGAAAAATTCAATGCGCCTTTCTGGGCTTCAGTGTGTGCTGTTTGCAAACTAGGACGAGGAATTAACCCTGCTGCCTTTTCCAATATTCAGGACCGCAGGGCAAGAAAACCACTGGGGCAGAATCAGAAATTACGCTCAAGCAGGCTACGGTGGCTGTAGTATGGGGCTCCTTATAATAATCCTTGGCTAGCACCTTCCTGGCATAGTAGCAGGTGGCCCGTTTCTGAAGAAGTTCGGCATAGAATTCTAGAGTTTGGAAGGGTGCGTAGAGATCCTGATGTGCAGATTCGTGAATGTCTCTTTCTGGTCTTTGCTCAAACCTTTCTTTCTGCCTGGAATGCCCCTGTTGTCCCTCCGTAGCCCACCTCCCTTGGCTTAGCAAACCTCACTCATCCTTCAAAATCGAAAGCAGTTTTCTCCCGGAGGTGGTTTTCCCTGCTCCTCCTATAGGCAAAGGAAGTTCTTTCCAGTGCTCTTGGAGCCTCTCTGCGGGCAGGGACATCAACTGCCCCATTTATCACAATAGAATGGAGTTTATTTAATTGTTAGTCCTCCCACTGGACTGTGGGACTGTCCAATTTTTATCTGAATCCCTAACACCTATCACAGTGCCAGCCAGGCACATAGTAGGCACTCAGCAGATGATTGAAGAATAAATATCCTTTCGTTTTTCAGATGAAGACATGAAAACCAGCCAGATGAGTTAACCAGACTTATTGTCTGGTCAAGTGACTTAAGAGTTGCATAGCTCGATAGGGACAAATAAGGACTAGATACCTGGGCTCTTGATGCCCTCTCCACTAACCAGATATTCAAGTTGACGTTATTATCATTGAATCTGGTTTTCCTTCCCCTTCTGAGTAGGGTGGCCATATAATGTGCTGTCTAAACTTGGATACTTTGGAGAGTAAAAGGAGCAATGTTAGTAATTAGACCAGGACTATCTCAGGCATGTGGCCTTCCTGCCTCTGGGTGATTGGTTCAGCAATTGTTACCCTCTTTCCTTGGTTTTGGTTGTCTTATTTTTATTTTTATTTTTTTTTAAGACAGAGTCTCACTCTGTCACCCAGGCTGGAGTGCAGTGGTGCAATCTCAGCTCACTGCAACTTCCGCCCCCCGGGTTCAAGCAATTCTCGTGCCTCAGCCACCGAGTAGCTGAGATTACAGCAATGCATCACCAGGCCCAGCTAATTTTTGTATTTTTAGTAGAGATAGGGTTTCACCATATTGGCCACGCTGGTCTCGAACTTCTGGCCTCAAGTGATTTGCCCGCCTCAGTCTCCCAAAGTGCTGAGATTATAGGCATGAGCCACTGCGCCCAGCCTAATCAACGTATTTTCATTCTAGAGAATATTGCCCGGCTACCGTGCAGATGAGAACAAAGGTCCGGAAAAATTAGTCCTTATAACCAAGTGAACTCCACCCGTAACTAGGAAGAAGAGGAGAAAATCTTATCTAAGCACTGCTCCCATCAGTCAAAGATCATCAGCCCAGTGACTTAACTAGTAAATATTTGTGATTTATGTTCACCAGTAACAACTGTTGGACGCTTTCTGTATGCTGAGCTCTGTCCAGGCCTGAGTGGTTGCTGTAATTTACTTTGACAGGCCAGCCAACAGATAGCTAGAGCCCTCTCCTGTGGGGCCAGGATAGGCTGGAGAGTAGTGGCCCAACCACACCAGGGCAGTGATGCATGGCTCTTCTTGTCTGCCACCTGCTTGGGGACTGATGGAGGCCTGATGACATAACTTGTTTGCTTCCTGGAAAGTGCCAGCCGTACTGTGATCTGCTGGGACCTAATATGGATACCTGGTGGGTCCCTAAGCTACCCCCTGATACCAGAGCACAAACTTGCAGGAGGCTGGAACTGTTCAATGAGGATTAACAATTCTGATGTAGAATCATGGGCTTCTGGAGTTGAAAGAGATGGATCTTGGGGTTCAACTTGTGCACCCTCCCCTATGCAGAGACTCCTCCCAGCCCCGCTAAGACCCCTTTCTCCCTTTTTTGGAACCTCATTTATTTTAGGCCTTGTCATCTTTAGAGTTCTGCCCCCTAAGCCTGTGATGATTTAGTTCACTATTGTCTCTGCGAGTACACAACTGAACATCCAAGATGTGCCTATGCGTACATCTTAAGTTCTGAAATAGTTTTCATTATCTAGATATGGGATTTGTGTTTCTATATGATTGATCGTTTTCTCTTTATGGACCTTTATCTCCAAAGAGCTCATAGAACTTTATCCATTGTTTTATTTTAAACAAAGAATTTTAGTGAGAAAATAACTTGTCCACAAAATCTCCCCTTCAGGGAGAGGAAAAAGGGTATGGAGGCAAGAGGTGTGTGGGAATGAGCCAAGTTGAATCCAGGAAACAGAGGTGCCTCCTAGTTGAAGGAGAATTCAAGCCCTTTCTACGCCTACCCCGGCCCCCTGCCCAATTCCAAGCCCAGGTTTTTGTTTTTGTTTTTTTGTTTAGCTCACTAGGGAGAGATGTATGGTTTGGAGCAGAAGGGGGATAACCCCATCGCATCCCCTGCAGCTGCAGCATGGGCCTCTCCAGCATCCTGGGGAGGAGGCTCCATGGTGACCATCCCTCCCACCTGCCATTGTCCTCCCTGCCTTGCTTAGGGAGGGCCTGAGAGCAGGGCCTCCCCTCTTTCAAGGATGAAGCTAGGGGGGAGGAGCAGGGCGGAGGGCACGCCATCCCTGGCCCGTTGCCGGGGTGACCGGGCCAGGGCATTGTGAGCAGCTCCTCTTACGGGATTAGGGCTGTTCCGCATTCTTGTCCGATGGAGAACACAGGCCGGCAGGGCCTGCTGCCCCTGCAAGCCAGAAGCCATTGTCTGCCTCCAGAGCCCTGTGAAAGGGTGGATTAGAGGCTCCTCCCATCGAGCAGGGGTTTTCTTTTTTCTGTCTCCCTTTGAATCTTGAGGGGAGGCAAACCCTCCTGGGAAATTGAACGAGGAGCTGTTTACCACAGTCTAGGTCTTCAGATTTCTCACAACTTGCGTATCTCCCATAAGAGGAAGACTCGTATTTACCATTTGCGTCCTTGGGCAGCACTTGCCAGGAACTGGCTGGCCCTATGACACCCCACCCCCACCCTGCTCCCGCCCAGCCCTGCAGCCTCTGAGGGCCCCGTGGCATCTCTACAGCTCATTTCATAGACTCAGAGCAGGAAAGCCCCTCAGATCTCTTAGTTCAACCTGTTAGTTTCACAGAAAAAAAAAAAAAAAACCCAGGGCTCTTGAGAAGGGGTAGGACTCGCCGAGGGGGACAGTGACAGACTCCCCAGGCAGCTTCTCTCCCCAACTCTGCGCCTCAGGCCCTGCTCCCTGGTGTTTTCTGGGGTTTTCTCCAGGAGCTGCTGCTGAGGAGGGTGGAGCAGAGAGGGACCGAGACCCTCGTTGGCTCAGAGCTTTGCTAGCTGCACCTCAGTAGCCCTCTTTCCATTTCCTCCTGCCTCACTCCACCCTTCCGGAGCCCACCACACATACTGCCCAGAAGGCTTAGTCCTCCTGTGGTGTTTTTCTCTTGCTGGACTAAGGTAGCAAGCCCTGAGATAACAAGCCACTGTTGAGTTATTTGTTTGTTGTCAGGGGAGGAACATTTCTTGTCTGAACTGAATAGACTGGTGTTTGGGGGCTTTTTTTTTTTTTTTCATAATTTTGGGACCAATTTTTAAAAACGTGGTAAAACATACATAAGATAAAAGTTACCATTTTAAGTGTACTGGTAGTGTTAAATTTAACGTTGTTGTAAACCAATCTCCAGAATTCTTTTCATCTTACAAAACCGAAACTATACACATTAAACAACACCTCCCCATTTCCCCTCCCCCAGTTCCTGGTAACCACCGTTCTATTAATATTTTCTGTCCCTATGAATTTGCCTATTCCCGGTACCTCATTTAAGTGGGATCATACAATATTGATCCTTTGGTGACTGGCTTATTTCACTTGGCATAATATTTTCAAGGATCATCCATGTTATAGCATGTGTCAGAATTTCATTCCTTTTTGTGGTTGAATAATATTCTATTCCATCCTATGGACATACCACATGTAGTCTATGCCTACATTTCTTTTTTTATTTTTTATTTTTTTTTGAGACAGGGTCTCACTCTGTTGCCCAGGCTGTAGTCCAGTGGTACATTCATGGCTCACTGCAACCTTTGCCTCCTGGGCTCAAGCAATTCTCCTACCTCAGCACGCGCCTATAGTGGGACTACAGGCATGTGCCACCATACCTGGCTAGATTTTGTATTTTTTGTACAGACAGGGTTTCGCCATGTTGCCCAGGCTGGTTGTGAACTCCTGGCCTCAAGTGATCCTCCTGACTTGGCTTCCCAAAGTGCTTGGATTACAGGCTTGAGCTACTGCACCCAGACCTATCTCTACTTTTCTTGATGGACATTTGGGTTGTTTCCACTTTGTAGCTAGGGACTGATTGCTTATAGCAAGTTACAGTACTGGGGCAGAAAAAGCACCAAACTGAGAATCAGATGGCCAACAGTCTAATCCAGTTGTGCCAGTTAGTGACCGTATGACTGAGCACATCATCTAACCTCTCTGGGTCCCAGTTTATTCGCCTGTAAAGGGTATTGATGATGCTTTTTGTGCCCACCTCCCAAGGCTGTCATGAGGGCCAATTCATTTACTAATGCACAAAGGAGTTGTTCTGTGCCTACCGTGCATCAGGCAGTGTGCTCAGTGTTAAGAATTCAGTGGTGAGCAAAACTGGCTGGTCCTTGCGCGTGGTGCAGATTGGCACATTTGGTTTACAATTCATAAAGCATCAGCCTTGCAAATGCAGGTTTTTACCTTCCTTGGCTATCTGTAGACTATGAATAAGGAGGTGACTGGTCCATATTGCTTCCTGCTGCATGGACCATGTGCACTCAGCTCAGATGAGATCTTTTTCTAGAGAAAGTGCTCTCCAGCCTCTCTGCCACCTACCCTGGTGAAGGATGGAGTGGCTTCTCTGGGTGTTCTCTGTGGCCTTTATAGCAGCTACAGGCAAACCACCAGGACCAGGGCCCCCAGAGTGTCCTCTGCCAAACCTTTTCCTGCCAAACCTTTCTCCTCATTCTCCTGCCTTCTATTCCCAGGTGGCCATCAAGTCAATCCGGAAGGACAAAATCAAAGATGAGCAAGATCTGATGCACATACGTAGGGAGATTGAGATCATGTCATCACTCAACCACCCTCACATCATTGCCATCCATGAAGGTACAGTGGGCACTTAAAGCTGGAAGTTGGGGATCTATGTGTGTGCATATGTGTGTTCACATGTGTGTGTACATGTATCAGAAGAAATAACATAAAGAAGTAAAAAAGATACAGGTTCTAGAGGTGGGCAGGAGCTGAATTTGAAACTCAACTGTATGACTTTGCACAGCTCATTGAATTTAGTCTCTGGGCTTCAGTTCCTCATTTATAAAATGGGGTAATCCCATCTACATCACAGTGTGGTTGCAAAGATCAAACTGTTTATGTCATTGAATGCTCCACTCATGGGAGGTACTCAAGGAATTGCAGGGTTTTTTGTTGTGATTATTCGGTTTTCCCTACTTGAATACTACCTTCCCAACCCAGTGAGCTCCTTAGCAATCTGGGGGAGGCTGAAAGATACCTAGACCTGCACCTGTCCCAGATGTGTGGGTGCTATTCTTCATGCGTCCCAAGAGCCAGATCTCCTAGAGTCTGACCTGGGCTCTGAATCATTCCTGCCACAGGGCTGGCTCCTACCGCTACTTGTCTTTCTTGGCCTCCTCTTCTCTGACATCAGTGCTGATTTCACCACTCCAGCTGCCCTCCTCCCCGTGACCCAGACAACAAAGCGAGCAAGAGAGGGTGACGAAGGAAAGATGGGGAGCCCTCTCCTACACACACCTGTCTGCGTTGAGCCTTTACATAATATCAGTGAGATGGGAAGCGAGGGATAGCAACAGGAGGGAAGAAAGGGAGCCTGTAGCTCTGCCCTTTGTCTGTCTATTCCTGGTGGGGGAAAAATAGAGCAGTCTCTGCTCTTGGGTCGTGGTCATAGAAAGATTAAGGGTAGAGCCACTAACATGGCCCTGTGGCTTGAGCCTGTCCCATGAAGAGCCAGGCAAGTGGCTGAGAAGGTTAATTGTATCTCTGTGTGCTTCCCTCAGGGAGGAGTGGGGAGATGACAAAGTATTGGTTAAGCCAGGCTGAGTGTGGTGATTGGGGTGTGTGTGTGTATGTGTGTTTGTATGTGTGTATGAAATCTGCCTTACACCCATATCTCCAGCTAGGCTGAGTGTGGTGATTGGGGTGTGTGTGTGTATGTGTGTTTGTATGTGTGTATGAAATCTGCCTTACACCCATATCTCCAGCTAGGCTGAGTGTGGTGATTGGTGTGTGTGCATGTGCGTGCGTGTGCGTGTGTGTGTGAATTCTGCCTTATATCTCCAGCTGGATCTGGGAACTGAGCGCTGTAGCTCAGGATATGACTTCTTTGGCACCTTCAGATTCAACAGACATGAGAACATCATAGTGACTGTGTGTCCCAAATTAATCCCCTTCCTGCTATAGGCTTCAAGGGATGTGAGGTAGTGGGTGTGCCTCAGTCCTGGGAACTGACCTCTAACCTAGCTGTTCTCCAAAATGTGCCCTGGCTGGCTTTTGACTCCCAATTTTATGGCACAAAGGTTGCATGCACCCTTGCAGAGATGATGAGAGCCATAGGGGTGGAGTCTCAGCCAGGCATCCCCAGGAGGCTGGGCCTCCACAGATAAGGGCCATTTACTCCTGTCCCCCTGGAAAAAAGGACAGTCCTCCTGGCCATGTATCCAATTCCCTGGAAGCTGGGACTCCTCTAGGGAGAAGCCTCTTCACTTCACTCCTTCTCAGAGCCTAGACAATATTAGCTCTGGAGCAGACCAAGCAAGCCAAACTCATAGGACCCGTTTGACACAAAGATACAGTGTCATGGACATACATGTTCTAACACACACCAGGCAGAAGGGCCAGTTTGGTGAACCAGCCACTCCCTACCTAGTCTTCAAGTGGTAAGAGGGCCACTCCTACCCAGAGAGATGAGCCAGCTGGGATGGGGTGGCTGCCGGGAACCCAGCCAGTCAATTAATTACCAAATATGTATTGATTGCTTCTGTGTAGAAGGCCTTATTCATGAGGCCCTGCCCTGGATCCTCTGGATGGAAGTCAGAGATGGTGATGAATATCTCAGCTCTCCGTGGTGCTTTATAGTTCATGATCCACTTTAATATACTTTTATTCCCTCTTCTGATCCTCAAGACAGACATTATTATTGGCCTTATTTTTCAAATGTACGCATGAGGGCATTGATTATAAATATAACTGTGGCCGGGTGCAGTGGCTCACGCCTGTAATCCAAGCACTTTGGGAGGCCAAGGTGGGCAGATCATGCAGTCAGGGGTTCGAGACCAGCCTGGCCAACATGGAGAAACCCCGTCTGTACTAAAAGTACAAAAATTAGCTGGGCATGGTGGCATGCACCTTTAATCCCCACTACTCAAGAGGCTGAGGCAGGAGAATCGCTCGAACCTGGGAGGTGGAGGTTGCAGTGAGTTGAGACCACGCAACTGCACTCCAGCCTGGATGACAGAGCGAGACTCCGTCTCAATAAATCAATAAATCAATATCCAACCATAGGTACCATTTATCGAGTGCTTGTTTATGTGTCAGACCTACACCAGCTTGCTCAGCCAGCCCTGGAACTGCTGCTGACTTTTTATGTTTCTCACCCCAGCCCTGTGAGGTTGCCTTATTATCCTGCTTTTCAAATGAGGAAACTGAGGCACAGTGGTTTAATGACTTGTCCAAGATCACCCAGCAAACCTGCATTCTTACTCATGTCTCTAGAAGACATTTGCCCAACGCCACAAGGTGAAAAAGTACCAGGTTCTTGAACCAAGGAGCCTGGCTTTTCATTCCCATCTAGTGACGTCTCTGGCTTCCTGAAAGGGCAGGGTAATTTTTCAGAATTCCCAAAAGCCTGAACTTCCAAGGAGGCAGAGGGTGAGCCAGTGTCTTTGGCCTTAACTCATGGCTCCTGGAAGATGCTGAGAACTTCCAAGGCCCTTCTTCTGCCCTTATTTGCCACCGTATAGCCCCAATAGCAGATATCCCTGGAGCGGGTCCTGTCTGGTGTGGGGCCCGGGGTGGGGGAGGAGTGAGTCACCCCCAGTGGAGAGCAGTGCACTCTGGGAGGGCCTGACGTTCCTTTCTTTGCTCTGCCCAGTGTTTGAGAACAGCAGCAAGATCGTGATCGTCATGGAGTATGCCAGCCGGGGCGACCTTTATGACTACATCAGCGAGCGGCAGCAGCTCAGTGAGCGCGAGGCTAGGCATTTCTTCCGGCAGATCGTCTCTGCCGTGCACTACTGCCATCAGGTGAGCACCTACCTGCTCCAGCCGTGTTCTCAGCGGGTGGTCGCTGGGGCTCTGGGGCTGTTTTGGACCAGAGAGGTTCCATGACTTATCCAGGATCACACAGGGAGACAGAAACAGAGGCAAAACTAGATTCTGGACTCTCAGGGAAATGCTGGTGTCTCTAACTTTGAGTCCCTTACCCGGGGATAGAAGGGCCTGTGATTTCTTGCAGCCCACACCAATAAAGATGGGCATTCCCAGCCTACCTGTGCTCAAGCCCACTTGGCTCCCTTTGTGTTTACCTCAGTCTCCAGACTAGGCCCCTCATCACCTTCCGTTCCGTGGTGACCTTCCCCTGACTGCCCCCTCCTTCTTTCAGAATAGAGTTGTCCACCGAGATCTCAAGCTGGAGAACATCCTCTTGGATGCCAATGGAAATATCAAGGTGAGTCCCACTTCTTATTTCTAGAAGCCTCCCTGCCCACCCCAGCTTTTCTGCACTGTCCCCAGCCAAGTAGCTCTAAGCTCTTGGTGGATTCCTGAAGGAGCTGAGCAAGGCTGACCTTCATTGGTACTGGTAGGGACCTCAGCCGTCATCCATTCCAACACCTCATTGTGTGGATGGAGAGCTGGGGCCTCAGCTGAGGGGTGCTTTGCACAAGATCACACAACTAGTGTGTGGCTGAGCCTGGACTAGAACCAAGATCTTCTGACTCCCAGATCAGTGCTCCTTTGATGTCATAAGGGTGACAGGAGTCTAGATCTAAGGTCAGGTTTAATACAACCTTGGGATGGGCCCGGCCTGAGTTCTTCTCCCTGCCCATGTGTGTACACACTTGCATACACACACACATGCATGCTTTAATCTGCTACAATTAGCCAGGCGCGGTGGCTCACGCCTGTAATCCCAGCACTTTGGGAGGCCGAGGCGGGTGGATCACGAGGTCAGGAGATCGAGACCATCCTGGCTAACACGATGAAACCCCGTCTATAGTAAAAATACAAAAAATTAGCCAGGTGTGGTGTCTGGCGCCTGTAGTCCCAGCTACTCGGGAGGCTGAGGCAGGAGAATGGCGTGAACCTGGGAGGTGGAGCTTGCAGTGAGCCGAGATCGCGCCACTGTACTCCAGCCTGGGCGACAAAGCGAGACTCCATCTCAAAAAAAAAGAAAAACTGCTACAATTAGATAGCCCTTTGGAAACTTCCCACAGATGAAGGACTCCAGCTCCAGCTTCCTGCTTTCTGCAGCTGCTGGATTTCCATGCTTAAGTAGTTAAATTCAGGCATGGAAAAGTTCATGTTGATGGGATAAACTGAGATCTCAGGGCTGGAGGAAGGACATGGCACCGGGGAGGCTGGCCCCTGCAGGCACCTGGGAAGGTGACGCTGTACTCTGACCCTCTTCAGAATCTTCCTGAACCCAGGCCATAGTCTCTTCCAGTGGCTCCTGCCCTGTACCATAAGGTGCCCTGGTACTGAGTTCATTCCCTCTTACCAGTCAATTCCTGGAGCAGGTGGGGCGGTCTTTGATGCTGACCAGAAGGGAGGGAAGCCACAGCCAGTAAACCCACATAATTGGGCACAAACATGGACAGGCATGAACTTTCCTGTCTCTACCAATCATGTGCTTCATTATGGGCTTCAACTGGCAACTGCTTGATAAGAGCCCAATAAAACCATAAACAAAGGAGCCAGGGTTTCATAAACAGCCCCTCCCCACCCTGAACACACATAACCTCTGATGGGGTGAAGAGGTGGGGAGCACGAGGGCATGGCCTCAGCCTCTTACTGAGGATAGGTGGGAAAGGGTGTCTCCGGGGAATGAGACGATGGGGTCGGGTTCTCAAGCCCTCAATATCAGATGGTTCAGGGAGTCCTGGGCTGTAACCACAGCCCTGACGTTTGTTCTGCCCTCATTATTGCTTCTGAGCTATATTGGGCTGACCCCAGGTTTCTGCCACCAAGTTCTTGCCCAGGTGTGCACACAAGAATAAGCCCTTTGCTAGGAAGGGCAGCTCAAGTCTTACGTGGTTCATTGGTTACAGGGCTTGCTTGTTCCTGAGGGCCATGACATTATCACAAGATGCTGGCTTTCCCCTTCCATCTGGCTGACCCTCCTTTCCATCACTAAACATCCTTAGAACCTCATGCAGGCTCTCAGCTGGGCTAGCAGCTGCAGGAGAGGTGAGGGCAAGGAGGTCGGCATGGGAGTGTACAGTCTGTCTGGAAGGCAGATCTAATGAGCAGGGGCTCCAGGGAGGCATTGGAAACTCTAGGCTTCTAGAAGAAGGAAATGGAAGACTTTCCAAGGGATATGGGCATGAGAGAGCATCTCTGTAGTGGAATGCCACGTGAGCAAAGCGGTCTGGGGAGCAGTGAGGATCCTGAAGCCCCCACATACCTCTGCCTAGATGCTCCTTACTGACACAGCTCCTCAGGGTTCGTTCTTCCAGGGCCTGAGCTATGCTGACAGTGCTCAGTGTGGGGTGGGGGTCATGGAGACCCTTTCCTCCACTGGAGCCTGGGTTTCCCCAGGGTCCGAAGAGGGGTGGGCCAAGAGCTACAGAAAAACCCAGGCCTTGACATGACCTGTGCCCGTGTTTGATTCAATCCTGCAGATTGCTGACTTCGGCCTCTCCAACCTCTACCATCAAGGCAAGTTCCTGCAGACATTCTGTGGGAGCCCCCTCTATGCCTCGCCAGAGATTGTCAATGGGAAGCCCTACACAGGCCCAGAGGTAAGTGACCACTCTCCCCTGCCAGCCTGCCTCGGGTGTTTACTATGACTTTAGATCCTGGGAGATTAATGGGCTAGTTTTCTCATTATTCACCTTTTCAGAGCACAAAACTCAAGCCTCCCAAAAAGTAGTAACTTGCCGGGTGTCTAGCCACGAGTGGCAAAACTAGAACTAGGCTGGGCGCAGTGGCTCACACCTGGAATCCCAGCACTTTGGGAGGTCCACAAGTGGACCACTTGAGGTTGGGAGTTCAAGACTAGCCTGGCCAACGCGGTGAAACCCCGTCTTTACTAAAAAAAATACAAAAATAATGGGGCTGTATGGCATACACCTGTAATCCCAGTTACTTGGGAGGCTGAGGCAGGAGAATCACTTGAACCTGGGAGGCAGAGTTTGCAGTGAGCCGAGATCATGCCACTGCACTCCAATCTGGGCAACAGAGCAAGACTCCATCTCAAAACAAACGAAAAAGAAAACAAAACAAAAAAACCCTAGAACTAGAACTTAGGTCTCCTGCCTCCTAGGTTAGTTCTTTGCCTCCTTCACCTTCCTCGTTCCTGGTACCTTTCCCGGCACCCAGTCCAGCCTCCCGAGAGTGACGCAGAGATGGTATCTGTCACAACCACCCCTTCCCCAGCCCAGAAGAGATGACCTGGCTATAGCTCTTGTGCTTGTGGCTGTCCCTCCCAGGGAAAGCGATTGACAGCATCTCAGCCCCCTTCTGCGGCATCCCCGTCTTGGCCCCTGGGTAGGAGAGGTGGGTCATCCTCAGGTGTGCTGGCCTCTGAGTTCTCCAGCATGTACCATTTTCTCATCTGGTATGGGCATCCCTGCTGACCTCCCCGGTCTCTCCCAGGTGGACAGCTGGTCCCTGGGTGTTCTCCTCTACATCCTGGTGCATGGCACTATGCCCTTTGACGGGCATGACCATAAGATGCTGGTGAAACAGATCAGCAACGGGGCCTACCGGGAGCCACCTAAGCCTTCTGGTGAGTGAGAGGGGTGGGTGTTCTTATCCAGGCCTGGGGTGTCCTTCACTCATTCCTAAGGCAAGAACTACACAGTGGCACTAAAGTCAAAAGGGCAACAGTCCATCATGGCCCATGGTAGGTTAGGGGACCGTCCACCGTATGTCCAATGTCGAGACCTCTGGGGAAGGAGGGGATAGCTTTCTTCCCATAGGGGCATGCTCGATTATATTCGGGAAGTGGTTCCTAAGCTCTCACTTAGATCTCCTTTGCTACAGTTGTCTCATTTCCTATTGCTTTTGTTCTCATCCTCAGAAACCTTTTTGTCCTTGACTATGACTTAGAAGGCAGGAAGAAGGGTGTGAGAGCCCCAGTTTACCCTGAACACAGTCTCTACCCTCAGAGGGTTGAATTGCAATGGAGAGAGAGAGAGGATAGATACCAACATACACACAAGGGCTCATGAAGGGGTCACAGTCCTGAGGGGTCAGAGGACAGAGAGGCAGGAGGAGTCAGTCCAGGAACTGTGGACTGGGGAGCTGTCCTGGGCCAAGGCATGTACAGAGCCGTAGGCTGGAAGGGATGCATCCAACCCAGGAGTAAGCAGTGTCTTAGCTCAAAAGGGGATGAGCTGGGGACAGGGGACAGGGAGTGCCTATTCTGGGAGCTGCCAAACTGAAGCACCTGCCTTTTGTCTTCCAGATGCCTGTGGCCTGATCCGGTGGCTGTTGATGGTGAACCCCACCCGCCGGGCCACCCTGGAGGATGTGGCCAGTCACTGGTGGGTCAACTGGGGCTACGCCTCCCGTGTGGGAGAGCAGGAGGCTCCGCACGAGGGTGGGCACCCTGGCAGTGACTCTGCCCGGGCCTCCATGGCTGACTGGCTCCGGCGTTCCTCCCGCCCCCTCCTGGAGAATGGGGCCAAGGTGTGCAGCTTCTTCAAGCAGCATGCGCCTGGTGGGGGAAGCACCACCCCTGGTCTGGAGCGCCAGCATTCACTCAAGAAGTCCCGCAAGGAGAATGACATGGCCCAGTCTCTCCACGGTGACCCGGCTGATGACACTGCCCCTCGCCCTGGCAAGAGCAACCTCAAGCTGCCGAAGGGCATTCTCAAGAAGAAGGTGTCAGCCTCTGCAGAGGAGGCACAGGGGGACCTTCAGGAGCTCAGCCCGATCCCTGCGAGCCCAGGGCAGGCTCCCCCACTGCTCCCCAAGAAGGGCATCCTCAAGAAACCCCGACAGCGCGAGTCTGGCTACTACTCCTCTCCCGAGCCCAGTGAATCTGGGGAGCTCTTGGATGCAGGCGACGTGTTTGTGAGCGGGGATCCCAAGGAGCAGAAGCCCCCGCAAGCCTCAGGGCTGCTCCTCCATCGCAAAGGTATCCTCAAACTCAACGGCAAGTTCTCCCGGGCAACCTTGGAGCTCGCGGCCCCCACCACCTTCGGTTCCTTGGATGAACTCGCCCCACCTCGCCCCCTGGCCCGGGCCAGCCGACCCTCAGGGGCTGTGAGCGAGGACAGCATCCTGTCCTCTGAGTCCTTTGAACAGCTGGACTTGCCTGAACGGCTCCCAGAGCCCCCGCTGCGGGGCTGTGTGTCTGTGGACAACCTCATGGGGCTTGAGGAGCCCCACTCTGAGGGCCCTGGAAGCTGCCTGAGGCGCTGGCGGCAGGATCCTTTGGGGGACAGCTGCTTTTCCCTGACGGACTGCCAGGAGGTGACGGCGACCTACCGACAGGCACTGAGGGTCTGCTCAAAGCTCACCTGAGTGGGGTAGGCATTGCCCCAGCCTGGGCAGGCTCTCAGATGCAGCTGGCTGTACCCCAAGGGGAGATGCCTTCTCCCCCACCTCCCAGGACCTGCATCCCCACTCAGAAGGCTGAGACAGTTTGCAGTGGAGCCCTGGACAGGGCTGGATGTGGGAAGTAGGCAAATGAAGTGCGTCAAGGGTTCGGTGTCTGTCTTCAGCCCTGCTGAACCAAGAGGATAATAGAGAAAGAGAGGGGAACGGGAAGGCCCGAGACAGAGTCCACGTTGCCCATTTCTTGTGCATAACAGAGTCCAGGTTGCCTGTTTCTTGTGCACGTAGTGGGGCCACAGAGACCTGGAAAGTGAACTCTCCCAGGGCCCATCTCCTGCATCCCATGAATACTCTGTACACATGGTGCCTTCTAAGGACAGCTCCTTCCGTACTCATTCCCTGCCAAGTGGGGTCAGACCTCTTTACACACACATTCCCGTTCCTACCAACCACCAGAACTGGATGGTGGCATCCCTAATGTGCCTGAGGCATCCTGGGAATGGTCTGGAGTAACCCTTCCTTATTTTTATTTTTATTTATTTATTTATTTTTTTGAGACGGAGTTTCGCTCTCGTTGCCCAGGCTGGAGTGCAATGGCGTGATCTTAGCTCACCTCAACCTCCGCCTCCCTGGTTCAAGTGATTCTCCTGCCTCAGCCTCCGTAGTAGCTGGGATTACAGGCACCCGCCACCACGCCCGGCCTAATTTTGTCTTTTTAGTAGAGACAGGGTTTCTCCATGTTGGTCAGGCTGGTCTCAAACTCCCGACCTCAGGTGATTCACCCGCCTCAGCCTCCCAAAGTGCTGGGATTACAGGTGTGAGCCACCATGCCCGACCTAACCCTTCTTATTTAGCCTAGGAGTAAGAGAACACAATCTCTGTTTCTTCAGTGGTTCTCTTTCCTTTTTCATCCTCCAAACCTGGCCTGAGCCTCCTGGAGTTGCTGCTGCGAATCTGAAAGACTTGAAAAGCCTCCGCCTGCTGTGTGGACTTCATCTCAAGGGGTCCAGGCTCTTCTGGACTCCACCTTGGACCTCAGAGACTCAGAACTTCTGCCTCTAAGCTGCTCTAAAGTCCAGACTATGGATGTGTTCTCTGGGCCTTCAGGACTCTAGAGTGTCCATATTTATTTTTTATGTTCTCAGCTTTGTGTTTTAGGAAAAGTGAATCTTGCTGTTTTCAATAATGTGAATTCTATGTTCTGGGAAAATCCACTATGACATCTAAGTTTTGTGTACAGAGAGACATTTTTGCAACGATTTCCACCTCCTCCCACGGCCCCTCCACACCCCACTCCACACTCTGAGTCTCTCTACCTAATGGTCTCTACCTAATGGACCTTCGTGGCCAAAAAGTACCATTAAAACCAGAAAGGTGATTGGAAGCAGGCCCTGCTGTTCTCTGTGGTGATTGAGGTGGGGAGGGATGGTGCCGAGCAGGTTTTTGAGCCTTCTCCTAATACTGGTTCCCCTAGGCTGCCAGGGATGGGAAGTAGAAAAACTGCCGAATCAAAACAAACGTGAGCTCAGTAGCTCTGGCCTGACCCTAAGCACACAGGTGGGAAGGCCCTGGGCCCAGGGTCCCAGTTGTTCTTCTGGCCTTTGGCACTAAAGTAGAAGTGGATTTGGCAGATTATCCCACCCTGCCCCCACCGCCTGCCTCCTCCCACCCCTGCTCCTGTCTGCTAGAGCCCTGCTTCTGCTGGGTAAAGACACCCCCACTGCCTTTATTCTCTCCCTCCTAAGAAATCCCCTTTACTCTGGTGCTGGGCAGCTTCTCCCCCCTCTGTCCTCACTGCCTGACTCCTAGAGAAAGCAAAGAATGCCTGGAATGTCCACCCCCACCATACGCCAACTCCCTCAGCCCCCTGCAGAGCATTCCCCACACGCCTGCTCCATTGAGAAACTCCCAGGCTCCGAGGGCTGGGGATGAAAGGGAGGATGAGGACAAAGTGTCGGCCAGCAGCCGGCTGGCTCTGGCTTCAGGCAGCCTCCCTCCCCTACCCGGGACCCACTCTGGTAGTCAGGAGGCTTCCAAACATCCCCAGCTCTGGCTCCGGCCCCACAACACACCTGTCCTGCCAGCTGTCGGTGCCTGCCCAGTGGAGCGTTGGACCTCCCCTCCCGCACCTGGAGAGCTGAGCTGGCAAAGTCACGAGTCTGCAAAGGAGATGGGGAGGGCAAGGCAACTATGGGGTCAAGGTGGGAGAGCAAACAAGACATTGCTTAGGCGACACTGGAGTACTTAGGTCTTAAGTCTCTGAGGTCCTACTCAGTGCTGAAACTCTGGGCTAGACTCTGGGTAAACATGGAAAAAATCCAGGGGGCGGGTTTATCTCCAGAAGCTTAGAGTTCAGCTGTGGGGTTAGCAGTGCTCCTTTATTCATTCCTCTCATGAATCAAGCCCTTTTGTGTGCTAAGCTTAGTAGAAGACAGAGGTAATTGCTGTATCCCTGGTGCAAAAAACAAAAAATCGAAAAAACAAAAACAAAAAGAAAAAGAGATCTTAGCCTCAAGGAGGTTACAGACTAGGGGTAAGGTAGCATGCAATAAATTCAATCAGAAATGGTTACTGGTTCAGATCCTGTTGAAAGGGAGTTTGGATGATGGAAAGAATTGCATCTTGGGAGATAATAATAGGCGCTACCATTCACCAAGTGCTATGGGTCAAGCCCTTTAGGTGTCTTACCTCACGTAACGCTCACGATAGCCTTGTTAGTTCAGTACTATTTTTATCATTCTCATTTTATAAAAGAAATGGAGACTCAAAAACATCAAGTAAGCCAGGCGCAGGTGGCTCACATCTGTAATCCCAGCACTTAGGGAGGCCGAGACAGAAGCATCGCTTGTCAGGAGCTTGAGACCAACCTGGCCAACACAGTGAAATCCTGACTTTACTAAAAATACAAAAAATTAGCCACACATGGTGGCTCACACCTCTAGGCCCAGCTACTTGGGAGGCTATGGCAGGAAAAACCCTTGAACCTGGGAGGCGGAAGTTGCAGTGAGCCGAGATTGTGCCACTGCGCTCCAGCCTGGGCGACAGAACAAGATTCTGTCTCAAAAAAAAGAACTTGATAGCAAATGGGGAAATCAGACCTCAAACCCAGGTCTGACATCCCACAGACTCACGTGAACTGCATGGGGTTTGGAGAATTGGATAAAAGAATGTTTAAGTGTAGGAACTATAAATTTATATGCCAGTTTTATTTATAAATATTTATTATCTGCCATATTTATTATATGAGCATCCATTATTTGCCAGGTTCTTTTGCAGGCACAAGGAATATGCCAATTTCCGAAGTGCCCTTTCCTAGTCTCCACAAGCCCTGAGAGAAAGCTAAGAAAGAAGAGAGTGAGGCCGGGCGTGGTGGCTCATGCCAGTAATCCCAGCACTTTGGGAGGCCAAGGTGGGTGGATCACCTGAGGTCAGGAGTTCGAGATCAGCCTGGCCAACATGGTGAAACCCCGTTTCTACTAAAAAAAATTTAAAAATTTTTAAAAAAATAAAAAATTTAAAAAAAATTAATGGCCAGCTAATTTTTGTATTTTTAGTAGAGACAGGGTTTCACCATGTTGGCCAGGCTAGTCTCGAACTCCTGACCTCAGGTGATTCTGCCTGCTTCTGCCTCCCCAAATGCTGGGATTACAGGCATGAGCCACCATGCCAAGTCTATTTATTTATTTACTTATGAGACAGCATCTCACTCTGTTGCCCAGACTGGAATACAGTGGTGCAATCTCTGCTCACTGCAACCTCTGCCTCCCGGGCTCAAGCAATCCTCCCACCTCAGCCTCCCAAGTAGCTGGTACTACAGGTGTGTGCTACAATTCCTGACTAATTTTTCTTCTTTCTTTTTTGAGACAGGTTCTCACTCTGTTGCCCAGGCTGGAGTATAGTGGTACAATCTTGGCTTATTGCAGCCTTGACCTCCCAGGCTCAAGCAATCCTCCCACCTCAGCCTCCTGAGTAGCTGAGACTACAGATATGAACCACTACACCCGTCTAACTTTTGTATTTTTTTGTAGAGACAGAGTTTCACCATGTTGCCCAGGCTGTTCTGGAACTCCTGGACTTGAGTGACCTGCCCACCTTGACCTCCCAGAGTGCTGGGACTACAGGCTTGAGCCACTGTGCCTGGCCATGGCTGTTTAATATACTATATCATTTACTTATTTACTATATTTGTCTGTCTTTCTCCACTAGAATAGATGCCCCATAAGACAAAAATCTCAGTTTTGTTCACAGATGTATCTCCAGAGCCTGGAGCAGTATACACTGTTGGCTCTCAGTAAATACTGAATGAATGACTGAATGACCGAATGAACATCATACTTTTTTTTCTTTTGAAACAGAGTCTTTCTCTGTCCCCCCCCAGGGCTGGAGTGCAGTGGCTCGATCTCGGCTCACTGCAATCTCCACATCTCTCTTGCCTCTGCCTCCTGCGTGGCTGGGATTACAGGCACACGCCACCACACCCAGCCAATTTTTGTAATTTTAGTAGAGACTGGGTTTCATCATGTTGGCCAGGCTGGTCTCGAACTCCTGACCTCAAGTGACCCGCCCGCCTCAGCCTCCCAAAGTGCTGGGATTACAGGCGTGAGCCACCACGCCCAGCCTGAATGAATGGCCTATGTAGGTGGTTGCCTTATCAAGCTGAATCTAGTGTCTCAGTAGCCCCCACTCAATGGTCCTGGTCCTGCTCTCTGAGCCATGTCCTGTACATCTATTCTCTTCTCCAAAAAATCAACCCTGTTGTCTATTATGTGATTCCCACCCGCTCCCCTTCCCCTACTTTAGAAGTGCCCAGGCTCTTCAGCTAAGACCCAGGACTCTTCTTTTGCCCTAGGTCCATCCTTGTCCTCAAGACATGTGTGGGCTATCAGTCAGCAGGCTTCAGATTCTGACTCGAAGAGCTGAAGTCCGCCTCTAGCAGCGCTACTGGAGTGTGGGCATTGTGCTTTGCAGGGGACTGTTGTTTCCAGACAGTGATCCAGAGCGCTGGATCACTGTCTCCCCTCTCACTTTAAATGCCCAAGGAGGGTCCAAGGAAGCTGATGGGATGGGGTAGGGGGAGAGGTGAAGGGGTCATCTTGACGGTGGGGACTAACATGCCACTGCAGTTTCCCTCCCTCCACACAGAGGACTGCCTGGACTTGCCCCGGGAAAGGGCTGAGGATGGGGAGAGGATTCCTACCAGGATTTCATGGTCCTGGTTGCAGAAGGCCCTTTCCTGTCTCTTAAAACTGCTTCCCCACCTCCCCCAACCCTCGTCATCGTCTGGGTTCTTCACATTCCGGAAGCACTGATGTGGCACTAAATATTCCTGCAGCTCCAGCCTTCTCCCTTGGGGGCCCACATCATCGCTGTGAGCCTGGTTTCTGGAATGTTTTTGGTATGAAGTGTCCAGGCAGGTGAGGGGAAGGGCTGTGCAGGGCGGGATCCACAGCCCCTCATCTAGGTCTCTTTGGAACCAATAAAATGGATACTCTCTTCCAGCTCAGATTTTCTTTCCCCAGAAGGCTTCCCCCACATCCACCCCCTCACCTTGCCCACCCTTTCCTCCACCTGGCTTAGAAGAGGTTACATAAGC